GTACACAAGCACTCACACACACAGGCACACAACCTTACCCCCAGGAACACAGCTCAAGCAGGCACACATACAAGCGTATGCAAACACATGTGCACATGCATGCATAGAGAAATGTGTGTGCAAGAACACAGAGAAATGCAAACACGAACACACACAGCACACATGAGCACACGCACAAAAGCCCTCATGGCAGTGTCATGTGAGCTGCTCACTTGGGGAGGGCTGCTCTGTGAAAGGGGTGGCCGCCAAGGAATGGCCTTTGAGGGGCATGGGGCAGGATAGGGGAAACTTCCAAGCACTTACTGCAGGTCAGGTGCCTTCTGGATGTGGCAGGGCCCAGCTGGAGCCTAAGCCGAATCCACTGCTTGGGTTTAGGCAAGTCAGGGCTTGTCAAGGGGCAGCCAGCCAGGTAATCCCAGGCCTGAGCCCAGAGGAGGCAGGGCCCCCTCTGGGACACAGCCCCTCCTTAAAGGGCCTGAGGCAGCCAAGGTGGAGGGGCTGCTCTGAGACCTTGAAGATGGTGTTCACTGTTGAGTGTTCGTCCCCTATGGCTGCACCCCTGCACCTCTGACTCAAATGGCTGGTCTTCAGGTTTGCCCCCTTGGGTTCCAAGCTCTCACCTCAGGAGGATAAGGGCCACAAGGAGAGGCAAAGCCCCGTCCATTATGGACATGCGGCACAGGGCCCATTACTAGGGAAAGTCTTTGTCTCCCTTGGCTTCTGGGAGGAGCACAAACCCCCTGCAGCCCTGGAGAACCCGGGGATGCCTGAGTACTGAAGTTGTGCTGATTTCCACTATACAAGGGGCAGCCAGGGCAAGGGGTAATGGCCTGAGGACTGAGCTGGCCCCCAAGCCTGGAGCCTTGCAGGCAACTGTGGTGCCAAAGGCTATTGTGTGCGCACACCCCCCCATAGCAGACCAGAGCTTTCCAAAACTCCCAGATATGGAGTCTATTGAGGTGAACCAGGCTGGGAGGCAGGAGGTGTGCAACAAGCAGGGCTCTGTAGGATGGAGCTCCTTGGTGTCCAGCTGGAGTTGCTGTGATAAATGACCACAGACCAAGTGGCTTCAAACATCAGGAATTTATTCTTTCACAGTGCTGGGAGCCTGAAATAGAGTCAGGATGTGGGTAGGACTGTGCTACCCCTGAAGTCTAGGGGAAGACCCTTCCTTCCTCTTCTAGCCTCTGGTGACTCCAGGTGTCCCTTGGCTTGTGGCTGCACCACTGAACCTCCACCATCACAGGGCTTCCTACTCTGGATGAGTGTGAAATCTCCTGCCTCTCTCTTATAATAACTTATTATTGCATACAGGGCCTGTCTGGATAATCCAGGATAATCTCCCCCCTCATGATCCTTCACTTAATCACATCTGCAAAGACCCTATTTTCAAATGAGGTCACATTCCACTTCTGGGGTTGAGGACATGGACAGATCTCTTGGGGCATTTTCAGCCTGCCAGACAGGGCTGCAGGCAGACATTGACCTGGTGGTCTCCGGAGCTTTCAGGGAGAGGGCTGTGATCTCAGCCATGGAGAGAGCAGGGGTGGTAAAGAGAGGGCCCAGGCTCAGCCAGAGGGCCCTTCACTTCTAGGCCAGGCCAAGGAGTTGCTGTCCCAGAGGAGGCTGTGACAGCCACACCAAAAGTGGCAGGAGGAAAAGCAGGCAAGGAGGGGGCATGGGAGGAGGGGCAGGCAGCTGCAGGGCCCACAGAGAGGAGGAGCCTTCTGGTGACAGGGCAGTAGCTGAGGTTGGGGGCAGGGGAGTGAGGGCTGCAGGCAGTGAAGTGAGTCCACAGAAAAAGAGAGGGGGCAGGGGCATAGCAGGCCAGGCTGCATGGAGAGGGACTCAGATGAGGGTTCTCTGGGGGTTTTCTTAGGCTGAGGTTGCCTGAGAGGAACCATTGACAGTGTTAGAGGCCTAAGGTCCCTGAAGATGCAGGTCCAGGGCACAGTGGGGGTAGGTGCAGGACCAAAAAGAGAGAAGGAAAAGAATGGGGGAGGGTGTAGGGAAACAGGGAGGTCTGGGCTACTTGGCCAAGTGGTCCGTCCCTATCACACCTCCAGCCTCAGCCATGGGCCTCCCTGGAGTTGGCTCCATAAGTATTTCCAATGCAGAGGACAGGGTGTGGTGTAATAAAGAACTTTCTAGCAAAGTGCCCCAGCCCACCTCTTTAAAAATGGAAGAACTAGGATGGGGCTGGCCAGTGAACCAGGGTCACTAGTGACAATGGCGCAGTTGGTCTGGCACCCAGGCCTCATTCTCAGGCCTGAGTCCTCCCTTTCGGTCTCAGGGCCCAGGCTGGGGACCAACCAACTGGAACTACAAAAAGGAGAACATTAGCTATTTGAGGACCACAATTTCTAGGGACTAGGGACTTCCATGCTACCTTGTTTCCTGGCCATCTGACCTTGACCTTGGTGGGACTCATCACAAAGTTGTATAGCATGGTTAACTCTTAACTGTGCCAGGCCAAGGCAATATTCCAGCTCAGAGGAAGAGGCAAAGGAGCATCAGTAGGTGATCCAGCCTTGGATTTTCCCTCCAACTTGCTTCTTCCCCTGGTAAGAGAGGCTCTGGGCCAAAGGGCATGTTCATTTAACTGATGGCTGCTGTCCACATGGGGGACATAAGAACTCAAGCCTTACAAAACAGCTTGGAGCTCAGTGATCAGGACAGACTTCACAGGCTGATGCCAATTTTCCCATATGGACAGCAGCCATCAATTTAATAAACATGCCCCCAGAGTGATCAATATGTTCCCTGGTCCCTGAGAGAATGCAGTGACACAGCCCCAAGAGAGTCTTCTCTGGTTTCTGCTCTCACAGTCACTTCCAAGCCTTTAAGTGGAAGTCTCTCCCTCCCATCTCAGCACCCTCCTCCTCTCCACAGGGGCCCTTTCTGGTGTTCTGTCCCACTCCTGTCCTCCCAGAGCTGCCAATACATGTTTGCTAAAGGGCAGCCAATAACTCAGGGCTTTGTCATTAGCCAGAGTGTACCCCTTACCCAAGGGATGGTCCTGCTGGAGCCACCAGAGGAGGCTGACTCATCTGCCTTTGCCTACCTCCTCTCATTCTGGAGCCAGGGCCTCAGGACAGGGAGAGAAGCCAATGACCCCAGGGAGCCCACCACACTATAGAAAGCCAAGAAGGGGGCACAACCTGAATGTACTGGAGGAGGGAGGCCCTGGTCCCCTAGGACATGCTCTCGTACTCAAAGCTCTTCTGTCCTCATGAGGGGAGTGGGGATGGCCTGGTGCCCTATCTCCTAGCCAGGGGCAAAAAACCAGTTTCACAACCTGTTCCAGGTAGCATCTAGTGACCCCCCTGAGCTTCACTTCCCCAACAGGAATGTGGGGTAGTAAGAGGAGAAATTGAACAGTAACACGTAGCTCAGAATAGGTGCTCAGGAAGATTGGGGATCCCTCCATTTTTTAATGTAAATGTGTGTGAGAGTGAATGAGTATGCCTGAGCCAACATGTGTGAGTGTGAGAGAATGTCTATAAGTGTGTGTGTGTGTAAACCTCTGCTCACACAGAGAAGTGCCAGGGGCTTGGCTCTGACTCCCTGCAATGCCAGTGCTCATGGGCTTTCCACAGAACCAGCTGCTTCCTGTGGGAGGGGGCAGGCTATAGCAATTGTGACTGTCCTCTGGCCCTTGGGGGGGGAGCAGTATCTTTCTGTCGTTGAGATATCTGGCACAGTGACAGCTCCTCAAAAGAGGCGTTCCCTAGCTCCAGCACAATCTTTTGTTGCCCCCGATCAATGGATCAGTGGTCTCCCATGGCCCTTACCAACTGTGGGGGCAGTCAGTCAGCCTGCCACTACCTTTTATAGAATCCTTGCTGTGTCCCCAGCACCCAGACCAGCACCCAGGACACCGTAGGATCCTCTGTATCCTCCCACCCTCATGTGTGTCCACACAGGGGGGGGGAGAGAGAGAGAGAGAGAGAGAGAGAGAGAGAGATGCTGATATGCTGCCTAGGGACAAGTCCCTTCCCTTTTCCACACGCTCAGCCTCAGCCCCATCCTGGGTCCCCAACCTGAGTATGCCCACTGCTCACAGATCACAGCAAAGACCGAATCTGGAGTCAGAGGACTCTGCTGTCACTGGAACTGGGAAGCTCTAAAGACTAGTGGCAGAAGCTAGTCCCAGGGACACACACTTTGGTGTATTTGCCCATGTATGTGAAAGTGTATGTCAGTTGGGACAGGTGGTTGTCTGCACTGCAGTTTCTCTGTGTGTCTGTCGCCACTTGTGTCATCAGATGTGTGTGGCTGGTGTGTCTCTCTGGATGTCCATCTGTGTTCAGTCTCCCTGTGTGTCCTGCAAAACGATGTTCATGAGATAACCTTCCTGGGTCACAGACTTTAAGAATTTGTTGTAAGCTCCAGCTTCTTTCTGGGAAAGCATTTGGATGTCTGCATTCCCAATACAGACAGTGTCAGAGGACCAGCAACCCCTTGGAGTCCACCTGGGGCTCAAGGACCCCATGCTACAAGTCAGTTCACCCAGCTCCATGCCCCATTTTACTGTTGGGAAAATGCATTCAGAGGGCAGGGGATCTTGAGAGGCAGTGGCAGCCTGGACTTCCAGTCGCATGCTTGGGGTACTTTCTCTGTACTTGCAGGTGGTGGTAAGCCCACCCCCCCCCCAGTTTCCAGCTGATCCCACCCCCACTGGGCCAGTGCCCTTTGGGGGGGCAATGTCAGGCTAGGAAGGACGGGCAACCACTCGCATCCTGGGGGCACAAGGGCACGCACTGGACGCGAGGCTCCAGAGCCCGGTGTCCCCTGCGCGGTGCACCGGTGCACCGCCCCCCGCGCCCGCTCCCTCCTCCCTTCTCCTCCTCCTCCTCCTCCTCCTCCTCCTCCTCCTCCTCCTCCTCTTCCACCGGCTCCCTCCCTCCCCCACCCTCTCCCTCCCTCCCTCCGCTCTCAGAGCTGCGGCTGGAGCCGAGCGCGCCGCGTCGCCCGCCGCCGCCGGTGCGGAGCGTGGGGAGCACTCGGCCGCAGCCGTCGCCCGCCGCGGAGGGTGCTGCTCCGCGCCGCTGGCCAGGCCGCCCTGTGCCCGGGCCTTTCCGTCCTTGGAGCGGATTGTTGCCCGCCGGGCGCCCGCCTAGAGCGACAGCACTCGCCAGAGCTGAGGCCGCGGTGGCGGCTGTGCCCATGCCCGGGTAAGTGGTGCCCAGGGCGCACGGGCGCAGGCGAGGTGGGCGCGGGCGGGGGCGGGAGGGCAGCCCAGCAGGTGGCGCGGCTGCAGGTGGGGGGACGCAGGTCTGCTGCTGAGGCACCTGCGCCCAACGTCAGGCCTGCGTGTCCTTGCCGCACCACGGCCGCGCGTCACCCCGGGGCCCCGGGGCTGGCAGGCAGCGCCCCACACCCGCACCTTGCGCCCCGCATCCCGCGCGCACGCGCATCTGCGTCTGGGGAACAAGGCCGCTGGGGGCTGCGGGCGAGGGCTCAGGGCGGGCACAGCCAGGGGCGCAGGGCCTGGGCCAGGAGCCCAGCCGGTGAGCACGCACCTTCCAGGAGCCTCGCGGCACCCCTCCCCCCGCCCCCCGCGCCCTCACACTGTGTCATCTTCCCCCTCACACGTTCCCACACTGTCCCCCTGCACGCCCACATAGCTACCCAGCCGACCCCGCTGCTGGCATGGACAGTGCCTAAGGCAGGCGGCCCCTGGCCACACTTGGGTAGTGCCTTCTCCATCCCTCCACGGAGGATTGTTTCCCCCCTTCTCACCTGTGTGACCTTGGCCAGAGGGCTTCTGCATAGGGGGCCTCAGTGTTCTGAAAAGTGAAAGCTCCAGGCGTAGGGTTCTGGAATTCTGAGCCGCTGGTGCAGCATCTCCAAAGCCTGGGGAGACCCACCCCTCTCTCTAGGACCTGGTCTCCTTCCTTCTGCTGGCTTACTGCAGGGCTTAGTGGCCTGACCAGCCAAGGAGGAGTGGAAGGTAGGGTGGGGGGCCTGATGCCTGGGCAGAGCAGCCCAGGAAGGAATCTTGGAGAATCCTGGGAGAGGTTTAGGAGAGAGTGTGCAAACACCACTTGCTGTCTTACCTGCTCCAAGGGCAGTCCCCTCCACGAGATGCTTGCCACTTCCTGGGCTGGGTGGGGGAGTGAAGCCACCCCATCTTTCACAGATGAGGCCTTGGGGCTCTGACCTAAAGTGAGCTCCTGCCTGTTGCAGGATTAGTCCAGCCTGTCCCTAGCTGGCTCCCATCTTCATCTCCCCTGGCTCCCTACAAGGACTTGAGCATCGGCTTGGAAGGTGCCCCCTGCACCTACTCCTCTCACTTAATCCACTAGCATTGCAACCCTCAAGCACAGTCATGACCTCTCCCTAATCTATGAGCATCTTAAGGCAGGGGCTTTCTCTTAACCTGCATGGGCTGCTCAAGTGCCCAGCACAGGCCTGGCAGAGTGGGCAGTAGTTTTCATATGGCACATACATGACCTTGACCTCACTGAATCTGTAGACTCACCAGAGAATAAAGGCAAGGCCTGTATTTTTGTCCCCATTCTTCAGATGAGATGCTTGAAGCCCCAAGAGGGGTGGGAACTCAGCAGTGCATTGAGCACATGGGTGGAGGCCCCTTCTGTCTTGAGCAGGTGGCTGGGGACACTCCCGTGGACTTGGTGGGGAGGTATCCTAATAAGAAGCCAATCCCCTTCCTGAGCACCTACTACAGCCGAGCGTGGTTCTAAACATGTTCTTGGACCTCCATCTGAGTCTCACCTCAACCATATGTGTGAGCTGCTGTTCTCACCGGCCCCCTTTTCACAGATGGGGGAATCAAGGCCAGGCGGCTTGTGAAGAGAGCTAGGATGCAGAGGAGAGGCTGGGAGGCTGCCCAGGTCCCTAAGGGACTTGGCGTAGCAGAAGGACCAAGGGTGATATTACCCCTTGAGTTTGCATCTGAAGAGTGAGCCAGTCGAAAGGGGCTGGGCTTTGTGGTCCCAGACCATTGATTGTCCCTGCTACTAGCCTCCAGGAGGGGGAGGGCCAAGGACACAGCTAGTCTTGATCAGATCAACCTGGTGCATGCCCAGCACTGCCAGGTGGTTTGAGTGAAGGGGCAGGCATGCTCTGGCACAGAACAGGGGGGAAGGCAGGCAGATGGAAGTGGGACGGGCGTGGGAGGGGGCTCTGCACACAACCAGAAGGAGAGCCAGTCCTTTGGGGAAGGAAGCCCCCAAGGCTGAACGTGCTAGGGAGCACTCCAACAGCAGGCAGCGGAGATGCTGTAGCCAGCCCCAGGGGCAATAAGGGGAAGAGGAGGCTTGTAGGAGGCATCTTGGGCTCTAGTGACAGGATCTCTGGGGTTTGGTGCCAGCTCTGTGCCTGATGGTCTTTGTGACCTTGGCCAAGTCCCTTCCCTGCTCCAGATCTAGAGACAGTGGAGGTGTGCCCTGCGGACTCTGCACTGACATTTCAGGATTTGGAGCTGGAGCTTTGGAGTGAGGCTGAATCCTTCCCAACCAAGCGGGAGAGGCCAGGTCTGGGAATCAGTGAGCACTCTCTAGTCCAGTCCAGACATGCAGCTGGAGGGTGCTGGGGTCAGCTGCAGAGGCCTCTCTGAGCATGACTTGTAGAGAGGGGCCCCACGCTTCCTGGTAGGGGACAAGAGTGCCCCCGGGCCCCAGGGCTTCTGAGAGCTGAGCTCAAATGGGACTCTTGGAGCCAGCACAGTCAGACCCAGCTTCCTCTGGACATTTGCACCTCCTCCCCCACCTCATAGAGCAAGTCATCAGCACACCTGTACTCCCTTTTGATCTTATACTTATGGCTCATATATTTCATTGATGGCTGCTATCTGCATCAGAGTTTACCCATAACGTAATGTCAATAATGACAGTAATAATAACAGCAGTCACCTTGTGCCATACTGGTTTAAGTTTTTCACAAACATCTCCTCACTTAATTGAAACAATAATCAAATGAAGCAAGTGTTGGTATTATCCGCATTTTACAGCTGGTCACATGAGACCCAGAGAAGTTAGAGAGTTTAGGTAATTTGCTCAAGGTCGCACAGTCAGTAGGTGATAAAGTCAGGATTGCAACATAGCAGTTGGGCCCCTGAGTCTGCTCCCTGCCTGTAGCCACTTGTTCTCTAGAAGTGTGCTAAACTTGGCAGAAGGGGGCATTATGCACTCGCTGGAGCTGAATGTCCAAGGAACCCTGCTGGGGTGAGGCTAGGGATTCTTTTGAAAACCTTGCAGCTCAGAAGCTGAAATACCAGCATCCCCACCCCTATCTTCCCACTGAAAGATCAAAGGTGATTTCTACCCATCCCAAAGTAAGCTCCTATGACCTCTTCAGGGCACCCCTAAGAAGTAGCAGTTCATAGATGGGGACCTGGGCTGTGACACGAGGCAGATCTTCAATCTAAGCACCCATGAGCCCCACCAGTGCCATCCCCAGCAACACCCCAGGCTAAGCATGGCAGGCAGAGATCTGGGCCACACAGATGGCTCCTCCCTGTCCCCTGTCATTTCCCAGCTCCTCACTGTACTTCTCTTCCCTGCCCTGGCTAGGCTGGCAGAAGCCAGGCCAACCGTGCCTGGCTGGAAAGCCCTCCCCTGCCTGAGCACCTTCTGTTGGGTGGGTGGTGCTGGCAGTGGGCCCGGAAGCAGCCTGGGGAGAAGGGTCTGAGCCACACATCACCAGGACAGAGGGAAGAAGGCTCTCAGATCTAGGGGATTTTGGGCATCTGGACAGCGCAAGGTTGAGAAGGGGATAAGTCCAAGGTCACAAAGCTGAGTAGATGGCAAAACCCAAACCAGAGCCACAGGGCATGGACAAAAACATTGAGGCTCAGGGGCTCTTGGGGCTGGTGGGAGGACTCTCTGTGAGCACAAGTGGTTTCCAGAGACTTAGGTCCAAATCCAAGTTGTGCAAAGAGGTCTTGAGTCTGCTTCTGTTGTGCTGAGGTGGGTCCCTCAGCTCAAATGAGTTCTTCCTTGAGCCTGTGGACTTAAGGCACTTTCTAGAGCTGCATTGTCCTATGTAGTAGCTATAGCCACAAGTCAGTCACAACTTAAAGTAAAATTACAAATTTTGTTCCTTAGTTGCATGACCATATTTCAAGTGCTCAGTATCCACAGTGGCCAGTGGCCACCATATGGGATGGTGCAGGTAGAGAATTTTCCAAAATGTACTATCTATGTCACCACTTCAGTGAAAATGAAGGGTTGATTCCTCCCATGGATCTTGAAGTCACCCTCAAGGCCACTCTCCTGTGGCATATGGTCACTGGTGGTCTGAATTTGGCCAGCCCCCATGGTCAGGCTCCCCTAGGTAATCACCCAGAAGAGAAGCCCTCAAGGAATTCTGGGTGCTCATGGGCATTTGAAAAAGTGTCCTGTGATTGGCCAGGCTCTGATCTGAGCACTTGACAACTGGGGGAAACAAGGTGCTTGGGTAAGTTGCCTTTCAGAATGAATGTACCCCTCATCAGAATGTGGCCTGCCATGCCAGGGTCCACATCATATGGGTGTGATGACCACTGGGGATTCTGGCCCTTAGTCATTCAACCATATTTATAGGGGCCCATGCCCTGTGTTAGTTCTGTGTATACAATGGAAAGGAAAAGGAAAATGTACTTCCTGCAGCAAAGGAAGTACACTTTGCTAAGTGTTCATCTATGGCAACCAAATACAAGTGCTGGGGTCAGAAGGATGCGTTGAGACCTTGAGGCCAGGCAGCGTCTTCCAGGGCTCAGGCCCCCACAGCACCCTCACTGGCCCAACAACCCAGATTCAGCCAGACAGTCCTGACCCCTTACTCCTCAATGGCCACATATGGCTGGTGCCTGCCATATCAGACAGTACTGAGACCTTGCACAGATCCTGAAGCCACTCCCCCCGTGGCACCTTGAAAGGGAGTAGGTGAAGGAGTTGCAGATGCCTCAGGGCAGCCCGCCCATCCCCTGGGGAGTCTGGGGCTGGCGGGAGGACTCTCTGTGAGAGTCAGTAGAGCCAGCTTGTTGGCATCAAGATCCAGAGTTGTGCTCCCCAAGGGCTGGCCCAGATGCCCAGACACCCATGGAGAGGGAGGCATCCTTCCAGGCACAGCCTGACAGGCCATAGGGATGCCAGGCCTGGCTTCAAGCTGACTCCAGCAGTCCTCCCATGTCCAGCTTGGTCCTGATTAGGTCCTGCCATGTACCCAA